AAAGTACATGGAGGGCACACACCGTGCTTACTGCAACGGAGGCAAAAGAACAAAGTTTGGTTAGTGTGCACCAACCGACAACAATTGCGAAGGGCAATAAGGTGTTTCTTCTTTCGGAAAGCTTTCTTTGGTCGTATTCATACGGGAAATTTTATTGCGACGGATTGGACCTTAAACTGGTTGTGGGTACTGTCACGAATTCTACGGGCGGCGAGCCGAGTAAACGGATTGAATGGGGTGCGCCCAAATTGCTGTTAAGCGTGAACATTTCCGCTACTTCTTACGAAAGTAAATTTGAGAGATTTTTTCCTTCTGGTGGCTCAGGTGTTCTGATGAACAATGGCACGCTCGTGTTTCCCGTGGTTGCGTTTGATGATAATGACGATTATTCCATGATTATTTATTCGACGGACGACGGCGCAAACTGGATGCTTTCGAATGGAACGTCTCCTGCGAAATGCTCTAACTCCCGCGTCACCGAATGGGAGGGATCACTTCTCATGATTGTTGATTGCGAGGACGGCCAGAGGGTTTACGAGTCGCGTGACATGGGGACAACGTGGACGGGGACCATCGGGACACTCCCAGGCGTGTGGACCAAGTCAAAATCGGCAGCCATTTTGGATCGGAGCTTTTATGTGGAAGCCCTCATCACCGCGACCATTGAGGGCAGGAAGGTCATACTGTACACTCAGCGAGGGAACGCCTTGGGGAACGGAACAGAAGGAGCGCTCTATCTTTGGGTCACGGACAGTATCCGCTCGTTTTGTGTTGGACCGGTTGCCATGAGGGATGATATGAATTGGTTGTTCACCAGCAACCTGCTGCACTCGGATGGCAATCTGCATCTTTTACAGCAGAGGGAAAACGATAAAGGCAGTGTCATGTCGCTTTCTCGTCTGACGGGAGAACTGAGCACAACCAAGTCCGTCCTCAGTACTTGGGCAAAAAAGGACGCCTTCTTCTCCAGCGTTTCTATACCCACGGCGGGTCTGGTGGCAGTATTGTCCGATACGGCCAGCAATGGCACGTGGAACGACGAGTACCTTTGCCTGAATGCGACGGTGACGCCTAATGCAAAGAAGGTCAGATATGGATTTCAATTGACGGAGCCTAGCTCCAGGGTATCATGGTCCGTGAACACTCGGGTTAATAATGTGCGTCATGTATCCTTGAGCCACAACTTCACACTTGTGGCGTTGGTGACCATCGAAGAGACTCCGAGTGGGAACACACCTCTACTGACTGCGACGTTGGCGGACACTAATTCCAATCATACCATGGGACTGTCGTATACGGCGGATAAGACGTGGGGGACGGGGCTCAAAGGCAA